GTGTAGAGACAACGATAGATTGAGAAGGTGTAGCTTGTGTGTAGAGACAACGATAGATTGAGAAGGTGTAGCTTGTGTGTAGAGACAACGATAGATTGAGAAGGTGTAGCTTGTGTGTAGAGAGAACGATAGATTGAGAAGGTGTAACGTGTGTGTAAAGACAACGATATATTGAGAAGGTGTAGCGTGTGTGTAAAGACAACGATATATTGAGAAGGTGTAGCGTGTGTGTAAAGACAACGATAGATTGAGAAGGTGTAGCTTGTGTGTAGAGACAACGATAGATAGAGAAGGTGTAGCTTGTGTGTAGGGTCAACGATAGATTGAGACGCAGTATGGTGTGTGTAAAGACAACTATAGATAGAGGCGGTGTAGTCACGGACAAACAGACGTGTTGAGGGCAACTTGCGTCGTGCGACAGATGTCGCCACTAACTGCCGCTACGTGAACGCATGCTCGGCGTCTGCTTCGCTAAGCTTCCCGCGCTAGCAGACTATCTACGTGAGTGCGGAGCGCGCTCGAGGCTTAACACGCTCACAACGGCCACGACATGTCGTACAGGGACGATGCCCTTATCGGCGGCTCAAATCCTCCTACCTAGGCTTTCTACAAGTGTCCGTATGTAAGCTCCGTATGTGTTCTGCGTGGATATGCTATGCGGCAGCGTGAGTGTGTGTACGTGCGTGAGTGAGTGAGTGACTCAGTGTGTGTGTGTGTCTGTGTGTGCGTGTGCGTGTGCGTGTGCGTGTGCGTGTGCGTGTGCGTGTGCGTGTGTGTGCGCGCGCGCGCGCGCGCGTGTGTGTGTGTGTGTGTGTGTGTGTGTGTAAGCGCGTGCACGTATGTAAATAAGCACGGGCGTGAGAGTGCGTGCGTGCGTGCGTGTGCGTACGCGTGTGTTAGTGTTACGTTGCAGACGTTAATTGTTCGGATGAGGACAGGAAGGGCGCGCACGGCGTCTACCTTTACACGACACACCCACGCAGACGCGCTGCATCCTGTCCGCAGGCATAGTTGTCCTGTGAGGCGGCTAAATAATTCAGACAGGAAATACCAGGCATACTCATTGCCGGTTAAAGTGTTGCAGCCTACGGAGTAGTAGACAAATAGAACAGACAGCCGCGGCATGCTGTAACGGCCTGTGCCGCGACCTGTCATCTGCGGAGTGGGGAAGTTGGTACGGTAGGCTGATCGGCTAGCCGACCTTCTTATTTGCCCTTCTCCGTTTCCACTTTTGTTATCACCGTGCGACTGTGTATGCGGTCTGGGTTACTGAGCGTGACTACAGTCACCCTGTCATCACTGTGTGTGTGACTGTACACTCGCTTACCGCTGTGTGTGTGACTGTACACTCGCTTACAGCGTCTGTGTGTGTGCGATCTTGACCTGTACACGGCCAGTCAACCACTGTGGGTGATGTACTGTAACTATACACCAGCCCGTCATCCGATGTGTGTAACTGTAACTGGTAGCACTCCAGTCAACCGCCGTGGTGTGGACTGTAACTGTAACACCCCAGTCACCGCGTGTGGGTGGACTCGTAATGTAAACCCAGTCCACCGCTGTGTGTGTGACTGTAACTGTACACCCAGTCACCACTGTGGGTGTGACTGTAACTGTACACCCAGTCACCGCTGTGTGTGTGACTGTAACTGTACACCCAGTCACCACTTGTATGACCGCAGTCACCACTTGTGTGTGACTGTAAGCTGTGACATCCTGACAGTCACGACGTGAACTGTGTGGGTGTGTGACTGTAACTGTACACAGTCACCACTGTGTGTGTGACTGTAACTGTACACTCAGTTACCGCTGTGTATGACCACAGTCACCACTGTGTGTGACTGTAACTGTACACTCAGTCACCACTGTGTGTGTTACTGTAACTGTACACTCAGTCACCACTGTGGGTGTGACTGTGCACCCAGTCACCGCTGTGTATGACCGCAGTCATCAGGTCACTCACTGTGTGTGACTGTGCGTGGCTGTACACGACAGAGCACTTAACTGTTAACTCACGACGTTTGAAACGTCGCCAATCTTCTTAAACGCTGCGCAATTTCACGCCGCTAGACATGGAATTCGGCCTGGCTATGTTATCGAGGTTCTATGTCGCTGTCAGTATGGGGGTGAGGCATGTATGCGTCATAGAAATGCATCAGAAGAGTACACGTCCAATACGCCGCTGCGCTGATTAAGCAGGCCTGGTTAATTATGAAATGATAAATGCAAACCGCGTGTGTGAGATAATGTATTTCTGTAGCAAAACTCACCACGTCCACTTTTCACACTGACGTTCGCTGTTGGCCAGCGTCAGAAGCATTGTCTGGGCCGGACTTCTATGCACGTTTCGCAACGAGCACGCCTCCGACAGGCAGCTAATGACGACAGACCAAAGCGACTCGGACTGTAGCCATATATAATATAGCTATATATATATATTATATTAGTATATCAGGTAATTAGCATATATAAGCGAGATCCTGGTCCGCCGTTAACTCGGCGCTAGCTGTGTCCATAACGCCGACATGAACACACTGGACGTGACTGGAACACACTGGACTGATGACTGGAACATACTGGACTGTGACTGATACATCACTGGACTTGACTTAGGAAGCAAACTGGAAGCTGTGACTGGAACACATTGAACGCGGAATGAAACACACTGGAACTGTGACCTGGACACACTTGGAGCTGCGGAACTGTGTTTCCGATCTGGAAGCGGCGGTTCGTCATTGTCACATTCCTCTTATG